AAAAAAAATCCTTTTTTAGTCTATGTTTTTTGAAATTTCTATTATCAAATATTAAAACTTAATGAAAGGAATAATTAGGGATCAAATTTCAAGTTTTAAGAATCAAAAAGAGATTTTTTTAAGTAGAAAAAAAAAAGCTTTCTATCAAAATAAAAGGACCAAATTAAGATTTTAAGCTATTTAAAAATATTTATTTATAAATTAATTTTATTTTATTAAAAAAATATTAATTATTTTTAATAATTAAATTAAAATAAAATTTCCCAATTTCTGTAACTTAATAAAATTAACTGTTTTTGTAATGATAGACTAAATATTTTGCATTGACACCAAACCTTCCAGATCAAATGACAATAGCTACTCATAGTGTATTCCCCTCCGACGGCGGGGTTCGAACCCAACCCTTATAAAATCAGTTCCAAAAAAAAAAAAAAAATTTGCATCGTGTCTATGGCTATACCTAATTATGATGACATTTCTGACTTGATCAACCAGCTTTGTCAGTGTCCTTCATTTCAGTCAGGGGACCAACAGTGACGAGTTACGACTTACGGCCATGATGTCTTTAGTGCGTTATTTACATAAGTTTTTATTTTATAACTTAAATTTTATTAAATTTAGAAGTAAAGAAGAAGATTCTTAATAATATGGCTCATTTTCTATTGACAGTTAGTACCCAGGAGAGCACAACAATAACGTGATAGATTGGATATTAAAATTTTTAAAATTAAATTAAATTTAATTAATTACTAAAAATTTTAAATTAAATTAATTTATTATATTATAATCAAATTAATTTAATTTAAATTGAAACAGTATGATTTTGTTGAAATAATAAGTTTTTAATATTATTTTAAATGTATTTAATTAGGTAAAAAATTTGAATATCAAATTAAATGACAATAACATCATAAATAACAAAATGATAATAACACATACTAAATTAAACTAAGAATTAAAAAGACAGTAAAAAAAAAAGAATAAAAATTAATAAGGCAATTAAGACATGTAAACTCACATCATTATCACTTAAGAAAGTAAAAAGTTTAGAATCGAATTTTTGCTAGTATAAAGGATGGTTTACAGCAATACTATTTTTTAATTAAGTTAATTAAGTTATGTTATATAATTATGGTACAAAATATAAAATAAAATAAAAATAGTTAATATAATTAATATTATAATACAATATAAAAAATATTACACTAAAGAAATGAGAAAAGTAAAACAAAAAAAATTTTAAATTCGAATTTTTTATAATATAAAGGATGGTTTACAGCAATACTATTTTTTA